TATAGGTAGATGTGATCAGCTGAGGATCAGCTGATGCAAGCTTGACTCACGTGACCTGCCAGAAATAACGCTAACGCTTAATTTTTGTGTTAGAGAGAAAAGAATACTGTTTGTTTAGGAAGGTTTGACTTTGGTTGAATAATCCTCTAGCTGGTGACGTTCCAAAAGCAGCTTTTCATAAAAAGCAGTGCAAATCGGATATGTTCATTTATGTCATATATATCGTTGTGGGCTGAAGTTACATCAAATTGAGTAAGATGCAACCCACTCAGACCCCTATGTTTTCAGACCCCAGATGTTACAGTGTTTTGCAGTAGGAACTAGCAAATTCCAATATTGTAAGGCAATTAATTGGCCTATATTCAGTGCTTGAAGATTAATTAAGTGCTGGCTGATTAATAGATGTAGTTTAAGAAGTAGAAGTAGCTGATTAATCTTTGATATTTATTAAAATTCTTATAGTGAATTTGAGTTAATATTGTCTAAAATAATGCTGCTTGCATTATTTATAATTGGCCTATGCGGATGTCAGAATTACGAAATATCCTATTAAAAAGTATTCTATTAATTGACCTGGCTGATATATTGATATCAGTACACATGATACGCTTACCAATCCTTTTTCAGATTATTATTTGTCTAGCTGTTGTAAATTCCTGCCTAGACTTTATCTGGCACAGTCCACGTTGATTTAAATATTTCAAATTGGTGTTTGTGTGCTTGATGACTGCTGTTCTACTGCTCAACATCAGATGTGCAATACATTAGACTGTGGTCCTTTGCTGAAACCTTTTAGTGATGTGTTGACTTCCTGTATTCAGGGGCATCAGTTTTAACCCCCCTTGGCAACGTTATATCAATTGAATCATACTGATATTTCTTCAGGGAAGACTTGATGCAGCTTGGAAGATACACTAGAATATCAGTGAGTGACGGTGAGGAATTTGTTGACGATTGAGTAAAAATTAGTCGGTATTCTTCAGATAAAGTCATGCAGATGAAAGTTCATCAAATCAGGAATGAACGATAAGGGTTGGAATGTCTGTTCAGTCAAACTCTGGGGCCATTTCCCATCGGACTATTGGCAGAAAAACTAATTTCAGTTATTATTTGGCACTTTTACAGAACATTTAAAGGGATAGTTCACCCTAAAATGAAAATGCTGTCATCATTTACTCACCATCATGTCATTCCAAACCTGACTTTCTTTCGTCTGTGAAACACAACAGGTGATATTTCAACACACTCCAAATGCCATTCGTGACTATTTTACGTTTTTACATTTAGTGGCTAAATTGTATCTCATTTTTACATTTTCAATCTGTTTGAGCCCAACTGACAGTTACATTTAGAGGTGGGCCTTCATGCTTTTTTTCAAAAAAATATACATACGATACAAATTACTTTGTACGAAATCACCATCTCCAAGTTACGTTTTCTCATGACAGGGCTCGCAAAATCGCTAGCCCGACGTCCCGGGGCTACTGTGTTAATAATACTCAAGTAAAGTACCGATACTCAAAAAGTGTACTTAAGTACAATACTTAAGTAAATGTACTTAGTTACTGTCCGCCTCTGCACGTGCATCATTATATTGGATCTGTGCATTCGGCCTTAAAGGGGCAGCAGCCTATAAATACCTGCTGTTTAAGCGCCACCTGCTGTCAGAGAGTGACATGTGCGTCTCATTCAGCCCGTCTGCTGTTTTTGTTTCGTTCAGGTTTTTATGTAGCATCACAAAGCTAAAGTCAGACCATTTTGTTTTTGTTTCAAATTTCAAAAATTTTCAATCTAAATAGCATGTATGCAGCATCTTTGTTTAGGATCGTGATTAAAATACACAGGCAAAACCTTAGTTTACTTTAGTTTACTATAATCCGAACCATGAGATTTGTGATCCGTTGCACCCCTACTCTCTTGACTTGTTATTTGAAGAAAAAATACAATCTGTTTTATTCGGGCTAGTTAAATTCATTTTTGGGCTACCAAAATCTGAAGAATGCCTGCCCGAAGGGCTACCATGGATTTAGAAATTTTGCGAGCCCTGCATGAGTTCAGGTTGGATAGTTTGAAATAAAAGACAATGGGGTCCAATGATGTTTGGACCCTATCATTCTTTAAAATAGTTTTTTGTGTCAGTCATACAGGTTTGGATCGACATAAAAGTGAGTAAATAACAGAATTCTTGGGTGAACTAACCCTTTAAGGTATTTGTGCCAGATAAATTGCACAAAGAGTCAGTAAATGAGACATTCTGTTCATTTACTTGGTTGTCTGTGAGTAAATATCACTCATGAGTGCTTATCAGAAGTGGCAATTGATTCTCTTTTGGTGGCTTGCTGGAAGTACATTCGTCTAAACAGTGTACTTGGATGGCATGTGCTTGTATTCCTGTACATGCTTAATAAAGCTCATACTTGTTACACTGCCTTCCTGTTACAAAGCCAGAACTATAGAGACTCTCAATTGTTCAAGTGAAGCATGTGTTCTTTCCTATGATCTTTCATTTCTGAACGCAGACCCCTTCGAGCCCCTTAGCTGAAATGTGAAGAATGCAGGAGGATTCAACATAATCAAACTCTTCGGGCTTCAAGCACAACTGCCATGTTTCTCCTCCCCTTGCATGTGCTCTGAGTAAAGGTTAAAAGTTGAGTTTGTTGATGGTTAGTAGTATATACTAGTAGTATAGTAGTAGTGTAGATGGTAGTGTTTTTTTAAGGAGATAGATCACCCAAAACTATAATTCTGTCATTTACTCACCCTCATGTCGTTCCAAACCTTTATGGCTACATACTTTCATTGTATGGAAAAGAGCAGCCTGGACATTCTGCTAGATAACTGCTTTGCTGGACGCAAGAATGTTTGGAAAAACATGAGTGTGATGATGACCGAATTGTCATTT